TACCACGTGCAGGCAGTCTTGGGGGTGCTGGCGGTGGTGAACAAAGCCCGGGACCTGTGTTCTCATGAAGCTGAGCATCTGCTAGGAGACACAGGCAGGAAGCACACAGATATCCTAAGTGTCCCTAGGGTCCTTGAGGTGCTGTTTTATCTCTGTTCCTCCTTCCTTGGGATCCCCTGCAGGTCCTCAACCAACAGGTGTATTGTGCCCATGTGGGACCTTCTACCACCCACACTGCTGCAGGACCAGGGGCTGGGAGGACGCAGGCCTGGTCTCAGGAAGGTGGCGGAAGGTGACACAGGAGGATGCCAAGTTGCTCCTTTAGGCACCACAAGGGAGAAGTTAGCTTTCTCTTCTGGACCTGCTCAGCTTTGGTCTGCTCAAGTGAGCACTTTATTTCTGCCCTGAGTTTTCCAGGAACAGTGACTTATCATGAACAAACTAATATAGGGAAAATGGTGCCGAGACTCAAAATTTTTGTGTCTGTGTCAATATTTAACATGGAATGCTTAGAAATGCTACTGCAGGATGAGGAGAGTAGGAAGAAAATACTTCTCTGGCTTCCATGAAAAAATTATGCCCATGCTAGAGATACAGTCTTGAAATACAATATGTAAAAGCAAATTTGAAGATTTTACTAAGTCTGGGGCGCCTGGGTGGCTCAGTTGGTTAAGCGACTGCCTTCCGCTCAGGTCATGATCCTGGAGTCCTGGGATCGAGTCCCACATCGGGCTCCCTGCTCAGCAGGGAGTCTGCTTCTCCCTCTGACCTTCTTTCCCTCTCGTGCTTTCTATCTCTCATTCTCTCTCTCTCTCTCAAATAAATAAATAAAATCTTTAAAAAAAAAGATTTTACTAAGTCTGAGACATACACACATTTTCTTCTCATTTGGCTAACTCTCCGTCATGAGCAAAATAAACACATGCCCTGCTCCCAGCTCCAAAGTGTGGGGGCCTCAAGTTACACAAAGGACACGGGTGCACGTGTGCCGCCCTCCCGCCCTGGGTTCCTGCCCAGGTGTGGGGAGAGATGGTGGCGTACCTTTCCAGGAGCCTTGGCGTTGTTGGCTCTCGACCGCCTCATTGATAACACTATCTGGACGTGGCTTGGTTTCTCCCTGGAGATGCTTTTCCTGCTGATTTCTAAAACCTGATGCAGGACGATCACAGAGCACGCTGAGCCCGAGCGGTGGGTATCTGTGATTTTTAGCTCTGACGATGACCTTGATCATCTGGACAAAATCCCCCAAAGGCTGAGCAGATGTTCTGACTCCAAAGCCACGTGGCCAGCTTCCTCCTGGGCACCGTGGGAGGGATACGCTGACGAGCCCAAACACGCTGTCCATGGAATGCTGAGAAAGTAAATCCTCAGAGTCAGTCTAGACGAAATGCATGGAAATCTGTTACGCATGCCTGAAAATTCATATAATTGCCTCTAGTTAATAGTGCTCTTGTAACAGTAAGCCAAAGTGTAAATTCTCTCTTCGTTCATTACTACTGGTACGTATCATCTGCATTGAGGTCCACACCATTTCTGTCTGTGTAACATGCAGTCTATGTTGTTTCTTCCACAAGTAAGTGTTCTGAGTGACGATGTTTGCACAGTGACTGTGGGTTTGCAGTGGCCTTCCGGACAGCTTCTTACTTGCTTCTCCCGTGCTGGTGTGCTACGGCACGGTTGGCATTTTGAAGCCCATCACATGGACAAGGACAGACCTAGGAGGTTGGGGTCCGGCGTGCCTTAGTGCCTAAAACACGGACTCAGAAATGCACGGCTTTCCGTAGCCAAACCAGCTCTGCGCATCGGCTTTGTGGGAGGCTTTGTCAGACTGAGGGTGCTCCCCGGGGTCCTGGCCTCGAGGAAGGGCGTAGAAAGCCGGGTGGCTGTCCCGTGTGTCTCTGGGGTTAAACAGGACACGGCGGAAGCAGACTGTGATCAGTGAAGGTGCACACGGTGAGTCCTAGGGCAACCAACACTCTGTGTATACACATCACATGTAAAAATTACTTAGCTAATTGTTAATTCACCCCTCGTTACCAATTCCTTAGCGCATCACACGTCCTCTGGCTTGTTACTAGCAAATACATTACATGCGTGTCACACGTCTCATGCTCACGAGCCTGGATCATGTACGTGTCTCCATCGCGTGGGTCCAGCAACACGTCATAGACATACTGTACAGTGTACAGTAAGAGAGGAAATGGGTGTGTCCCGTCCTTTGTAATTACGTTGTCACCATCCTGGTGCGCGCTTTCTAGACAGGACCCACCTCAGCTCCTGATCTCCGTCCCTACCCTGAAGAGGGTTTCAGGAGCCGCAGACTCTGTTTCCTTATTTCATCTTCATGCTGGACGGGGGGCCGTGGTGCAGCAGCTCGATGCTTGGTGGACCTGCTCGTGCGTTGAGCGCCGGGAACGTGCCGTGCTCCTGCCTCCCGGACGCCGCTGCCTCTGCGGGAGGTCGGCTGGAGGCTTGGGGCTCCCTTGTAAGTGACGAGTTGTTTTTCTCTTGCTGCTTTGAGATGTGTCTCTTGTCTTTGATTCTCAGCATGTTGACCTGAGGCATCTCTTTGTGGATGTGAGTATGGATCCTGTTTGGATCGCTGGACCTGCCCTGGTGTGCAAACCAGCGATTCTCAGAACCCTTGGGAAGGCTCCGGCCGCCACTCCTTGGGACGTTTGGTCTGCCCTCGGTCTCTGCTCCTGCTGGTGTCCCCAGTGATGTCTCTTGCTTCTCAGAGCCCCCAACGGGGCTTCTTCCATCTTTCTTCTGCCTGTTCTGTGGGCTGCACAGACCTCGCCAACCCGCCTGGCTCACTAATCCTTCTGTCAGGATGAACCCACTCCAGCCTATCCAGTAAATCTTCCATCGCGCTTCTTCTCGTTACCTCCAGCAGACCCGCTAGTTCTGCCCACATGGTCTGTCCCTTCATGGGGGATCACTGTTGCCTGGGCTTCTTCAGACATGGATTCCTTCGTCCCTGGAACGTCCCCGGGATGGCTGTTTGCACGCCTTCTTGTGCGAGGTGACCTCCAGCCACGTGTACCGGTCACGCCATCCTGTGTCCAGCACCCTGGGTCCCCACCCCCACCCAGGGCTTGTCACTGTTACTTGTGTGTGCGTCTGTCCATGCTGGTCTGCCACGCTCAGGGACAGGCCACTGAGCCATGCTCACGGTCACCCTGGGATGACAGGCGTTTCTCTCTTTCCCTGACCACACCCAGCTGTCAAACTTCACTAATTTTCAGGTGATTGGTCTGTTGTTCTCAACCAAAGCTTTTTGGCATAAATGGCTCCACAGAATAATCCAGTGAAATCTGGGTTCCTTGGAAGGGACAGTTCCGGGCTCACTGTCTGGGATTCGTTCACACCACGGCATCCACGACTTTTGCGGACACCCGTAACTGTGAAAGTCTCCACGCTGTACTGCAAACAAGGTCAGCATCTGCAAATAGGTCAGGAACCAGAGCTTTTGTGCCTTGTTTCCCCCCAGACAAATCTCTGAGCAGGAGGTAGGGACGGTGATGCTTGTCTGTCAGAGAGCCTGGTGCTCAGACGCAGGCAGTGATGACCGGGCCAGGGGAGGGGGGTGCAAGGTCGGGGGGGGGGGGACGGGAGGTGGGGGGGGGACAAGGGGGCGGATGCGAGGTGAGGTGGGTGGCGGAGTGGACACAAGGTCAGGAGTGGGGGCCCCGGGGCGGACGTGAGGTCCGGGGGGCCGCAGGGCTGGGCGCGAGGTCGAGGGTCGGGGGCGGACGCGAGGTCGAGGGTGTCTGCGTGCACCAGAGAAGGAGGACTCTGCTTGAGAGCCTGTGGGAGGCTCTGTAACTCCCCACTGTCCGCACTGTCCTGACCGCCCGCCCTTAACAAAACCATGAATAAACTCACAGCGGAAAGGTTATTAACACGTAACGTAGTGTGGACCTTGTTTCTTAAAATAATATGCCTGTTTTGTCATTCATTTTTGAAACTTTTCATGATCTGCTTAAGGACACGAAGGTATAGGCTCCATGGATTAATACACACTGTTTTCTTAAGGAAAAAGGAACAGGAGCATAAACGACATTCCGTTTTATAATAGTGGTGTCAGTCAGCCGGGGCCGCACAGCCAAGTGCCACCCTCAGGGGCGTAAGCAGCAGACACTTAGGTTCTCACGCTTCCGGAGCCTGGATGTCCCCGTCGGTCCCCGCACGGGTCCGGTGCTGGTCAGAGCCTCTTCTGGCTGACAGCCGTGTTGTCATGCCCTCCCCAGGTGGGGACGGAGCTCTGGTGTCTCTTCCCATAAAGACACCAGTCCTGCAGGATCAGGGCTCGACCTGGACCTCACCAGGTCACTGAGCATTAATTCCTTCTCAGGGGCACCCCCATCTCCGGAGACATCCATGCTGGGGACGTGAATCTGGGGACACAAGTCAGTTGATCACAAGAGTTATATGTGAAGTAGCTTTTGAAAAAGGCTTTCATGATAAGGAAGAACTACTGAATTAGAGATGATTATCCTGCTGTTACAAATAACTTGCCACAGGAAGGTCTGTGGCACGTTGATTTTTATGAAAAAAAGAAAGAACCAACTTCTTAGAAAGCTCACTGTAAATCGGAAATGTGTGTGTGTCATAAAATAGCAGTGATGTTGAGTAACAATGATGCCTGAGTGCCCATCCTCATTGTGTCAAGAGCTTTAGTACCACAACAAGTGGTCTCGGAAAGAGTTATTACTGAGGACCCTATAAAACAAGAGCTCCATAATTCCTAAAAGAGCAAGAGTCATTTCCTACACGAATTGACTATCATATTTTTTTACTGAATTAGAAACAGCTGTTGGTGATGGATTTCAAAGCTCTGAACTTACTTTGGGGGAACATACTTAGTGGAGCAGGTTGGGCGTGTGAACATGGTCTCTGCCACATCTCCCTGCGTGGCTCTGGGCAGCACTGGAGGCTCTGTGGGCATGCACGAGCTGCTCGGGCTGGTGCACAGGGCGGCTCCCTTCTTCCCGCAGGTCCAGCGCGTTCAAGGTGCTGGCTCTGGATGGGGTTAGCACGGGGATCCTGCAGTTTCACACGGCTCAGGAGAGCGCTGACTGGCTGAGAGCAGTGTCCATGAACATCAGTGACCTGACAAGACAGAGGGTGAGCAGACTTCCCAGGACTTCCTGCTTTTGCACTTAATCCACAAAAATGATTTGATATTTCTTGTTATTTAGGATTAACCCTAAAATAGTTATAAGATTAAACAAGGAAATATGTACTTTTTTCAACATACCACATCTCTGACTAAATCAAGTTCAAAATCAAGTCCTGCAGATGTCTCCTGAGTGAGAGTCTGGGCCCGATCAGACATGTGGGTGCTCACCCCATCCCTTCCTCTCTCTCCTCCTGTGTCCCCACACAAGCACAGACCCTTTCATGTACGTATAATACCACGTACACTTGACCCAAACGCATCGATGGAATGTGGGTACCCCAATGAGGTTGAAGACAGAATGCCCCTTGTTTATGAAAACAAGACACATATCCACCCAGCAAGATGACTTCCCAAATTTTCAGTGCAAGTATCCAGGAGAAAGAAAGTGCCCTGTCTCCTTGAGGGATCTGTTTGATGTTCAGAGTCAATACAAAATAAACGTAGCTGGCTGGGAGTTGAAGTCAAATTAAGACTAAGTTCCCAAGGAACCACCGTATGCTGCCAATGAGCTGTTGGCCCCTGGAAGGACTCGCTCATGGCCAAAGTGGTCTTTGATCAGTTCCTTCCCTGGTGACCTGCCCACGGACTGCATTTGTGTCCTGAGGCTTCTGTTCCGGGGAAGCAGTTAGCAGGAAGTCCCGGAACCAGCCTTTGACCCCACTGTCCAGCCGAGCACAGGCCCACCCTGCAGCAGCCCTGAGCCCCTTCCCACCCTGATGCCCATCCCCCACCCCACCTCCTGGTCCGCCCACCTTGCTGCCCATCCCCACCCTGCAGCAGCACCTGCCACCCAGTCCCCCACCCCACTGCCCAGCCCTTACCCCACCGCCCCTTCGCCACCCCGCCACCTCTCTTCTTCCACATGCACTGCCTTGTTCCTGGAAGCTGCAAAACAGAGGTTGACTGAGCACATTAAAATATTTGGGAAAGCAGCAATGCGCTCGATTCCTATAGAGCAGAACTTCTCTGAGACCTTAGTTTTCAGATGTGACAGTTTGAATTCCAAAGGTATCTGGATGGATTAAAGGAAAAGAAAGAACAAGCAGGTGGTGGTAGTTTGGTATCCCAAGAGTGCATGTGACCAGGGAGGCCCTCAGGTCTGGGTGATTTTATACATTCTAGCTGGCAGGCAGAGCCGAGAGAAGGAAACCAGCTGTGTGGATTCGAAGCCGTGTTCCAACTCTGTGTGTTATGCTTCTGGACCTCCACTTCCTCACTGGTACAGTTTTGGAAATGGTGCTACTGTGCAGGATTTCTGGGAGAGTCAAGTGAAGGAGCACACATGAAATGTGAAACTCTAAGCTAGAGCAGAAATCATTTTCCCGTTTTTTCCTAATATTGAAATTTAAGCATCTCCTGTCCCATAGCTTCACTCTCACAAAATGCTGATGTTTAAAACGAATAAGTATGTTAATAGTGGGGTTTTTCTGGCGCCTGGGTGGCTCAGTCGTTAGCGTCTGCCTTCAGCTCAGGTCATGGTCCCCGGGTCCTGGGATTGAGCCCCGCATCGGGCTCCCTGCTCCGCAGGAAGCCTGCTTCTCCCTCTCCCAACTCCCCCTGCTCGTGTTCCTGCTCTCACTGTCTACGTCTCTGTCAAATAAATAAATAAAATCTTTAAAAAAAAGAATATTAAAAAAATAGTGGGGTTTTTCTCTGCTGTACCATTGCTGTGGCACATGGTTTGGTTTTTAGGTAAGAAATGCATCGTAGAAGAAGCTTGTTCCCAAGGACACGTGCTGCGGCTAATTTCAGTTGCTGATTTGACAGGTTGGAAATGCTGGCAACACTCTTGTCCTGCTGACTCTCTTGCTTCCTCTCCACAGGTGAGGACGGAGAATAAGTGCTCTTCCCCTTGTGACCAGGTAGGTCCTGCGTTTTTCTTGTCGATCATATGACAAGTCTCTAAAAGTAGTTTCTCCTGGTCTTGGAACTTGATTTGGGAATTTTGGTAGAAGTCAGGGTCCCCGTCCTCGGTGCAGGAGGAATTGCTCTGGTCCTCTGTCCAGGTTATAACTGAGCTCTTGGCAGCTGGGTTTTCTGAGGAAATGTGGTTAAACGATAGTGTAGTTGTGATTGTTTAAGCTGAGAGGTGTTTTACTTTGGAGACACACCTGTATGATCTGGAAACTTAAGCACTGTGTAATTTTCTTAAGAACACCCTCATTTGGAGAGCTTTGCCCTGGAGAGACTGCTGGCCAGCAGATGGGTGGGAGCCCATGCCCCAGTGCAGGCAGCAGCATCCCCACATTGACCCAGGCCTGCTGATGCGGCTGCCTCGTGGGGAATCCATAGCTCATTCCTTCTCAGGGCAGAGCCAGCCACTGATGAGCTGACTCCTGATTCGGAGTCACTGGGTCTGTAAGTGCATAGGGATGAGCTGACAGCCCAATTCGGGGCTCCCGATCACTGGTCATTGGGTCTGTAAGTGCATAAGAATGAGCTGATCATAAATTTAGAAAAATGTTACAATAAATAAAAGTTACATTCAGAATAACTTCCCTGAGAGTTTCTTTCCTAATTACAGAATGTTGATTAGAGGGTTAGAACACAGCCACTGGGTTGGACCTTCTCGTAGGTGGGGGAATGCCTCAGCATTTCAGGGCATACTCGGATTACCTGGCACGTCAGGAAATCAAAGCCTGCTTTGTTTTAGTTGGAGTCACAAGAGAGTCCGGAAATAGGGTCAAAGAAATAAAACTCCCGACACTGAGAACACAAAGTAATTAGGGCTCGGAGACCTGGAGGCTGTGGGCTAATGGTGCTCTCAGGTTATCTCAGAGAAGTTTTATCACACGTTAAACCATTTTTGTGTGATGCTGGTCTCCATGGCCCTGTTTGAGTAACAGCTGCTTTCTGATCCCAAGTAATCTCTTTCCTGGTGACATAATTTGGCCAGATTAACATCTGAGCCACAGTTTCTTCTTCCATAAAATAAGAGAACTGTAATGGGTAATCTAAAGACTTTTTTCTAACCTGAAAATTTCTCTGTTACTTTGAACTTTTTCTGTCAGGGGCTCAAATTAGTATATTTGGGGAGAAATACTAGAGATGAGTTTACTCCGTGGGCTTATTGAAGAACTGTGCCTGCCGTGTCTCACTGTGCTTTTGGTAGAGGATTATCTCACATTTTTCCCCAAAACTAAACATTTTGTGTATATTACAGGAGTTTAGATTTGTGACATTGGGCCCTTAAGAATGAGAGGCAATGCTTTTCTCATTCTAAACAGTTCTTTCCTCGTTTTGGTATGTAGCAAAGACATAATATTTGGATAAATATTTGAAAAAAATACTTGTATTTGGGAACTACTGAAATTGGCAAAAACAAGTACAAAACAGATTAGAATATCATACAAAAGGCCTGGAGTATAGATTTTTTTAGACTCTTTTATTTAGTGAGTAAGATGATTGTGTAATTTGCCACCCAAACAGAGGCCCTTCCTTCTGGGATGATGGCCAGCCTAAAAGTGACAGGCATACATTTGAAATTGTCCTGGGCAAACCAAAACACTTGTTCCCTGCTAAGATAGCAAGTAGCTCTGTACATTTCCGAACTAAAATTCCCCTGGAAAACCTGAATTAAAGCAAAATATGAATACCTTACTCGCCAAATCCAAAAGAAACCTAAATCTCAGGAATGTGGGCTTTTTCTGTGTAAAGGACGAGCTGTACAGTATCATCTGATGGACACTTAGCCAATTATCTCAACTCACTCAAGTGGGAAAAAAAAAGACTTTCCTATAGAAATGGCATCAGAAAAGATAAATGAAAATATGCTCATTTATTATAATGGTTGTGTCCTCTTCATTTAATTATGGTGATATAATCAGGTAGGTGTTCATAAAATTATAATATATGTTTCTTGGAACACGTAATAAGCCATTAGAAAATTCATAATGTAAAAGATAAAATTAGCTAACCCTAAAATTATTTATGAACTACATATACCTAGAAAAGATTCATAAAGCAGGTAACATTTCCATTAATGGCTAAGCTATAACTTATCTCTTTGCTAATTGATCTAGGGAGAATTAAATTACATATGGAATGTCATTAAGGTCACATGCAATTTATAGATGTTTTGGATTATGAACAGTCTGATTTTTATAAAATTTCTTTCTGTAAAATTCCATCTGGCATCTTGACCCAGGACATCTTTCACCAGGAGTTGGAGTGAAAGCTGTCAGGGGTTTGTCCTGCAAACCGCAGTGGCGGGGACGGCCCACCTGAGCCCAAGGTGGGTTAGCGCCCCCCTCCCCCCGCCAGGTGTCCCCACCTTGAAGCAGCTCCTAGGACAGGTGTATTGTGCAAGGTGGCTAGCATGTCTTTGAAGATTCCCTTTTAATTTTACTGAAATGCACAAGTTATTTTAAAGCCTTACTCCCTATCATGTGTGCAACATTAATGTTTCAGGTAAGACATGGGGACTGACATTCGTTTGAATTCATGCCCCGAACACTTCAGCTATGTTACTGTTTTCATTAACTTTTTGAATCCTATTCTGATTTGTTACAACTTGCATTTTGTGCCTTTGTATTAGGAAGTTGGACTGTAAAGAAAATCAGGTTTTCCATGTAGGTCAACTCTGTGTTTACTGTAGCGATGGAGAATACAACTGTCGGCAGCTACAACCTCGTAGACAAATCTGCGATACTAGCCCCAGATAGAGTGTAATTTAATGCTGTGTTTTAAATATACACGGGGGCACAACTCTACTGCAGCTGAGGGCCCTGTGGGGCGCAGACGCTCCCAGAGACACCCCTGGCCTGTGTGGAACTGTGGCTGTTCCTCTCATACGCTCGCGCTCACAGCCGTCTGTTTGGTTTGGGCATTAGGAAACCCGCTGGCTCTGAGTGCCCGTTGTCTGTTCTTTCTAGCCCCCAGGGCACTCACTACGGCTTGGGTTTAATTTCAAGGGTTTTCCTCTGCAGGTTGTGCATATGGGGTGGGTCAGTGAGAAACTCGAAGGCACCGGCTCCTGTCACACCTTCCGACCCAAGTTCCTGGCCCTGAAAGGCTCGTCCCTCCATGTGTTCAGCACCCCTCCGGTAAGGACGCCCGGACTCCTTGGGGAGGGTCTGCTGCAGAGAAGCAGCTTGGGACGTGGTGTCTGCCGGAGGCCAGACACACAGGGGCCAGACCCCACTGCTCTCCTGCTCACACACCAGCTGGCTGGGAAGCAGGGGTGCAGAAGGCTGTTCTTGGAGCATCACACACAAAACAGAACAAAATCCTTCTCTTCATACATTCTGAGTTAATGGCCAGATAATTAAATTTAAAAAGTCACTCTTTCCTTCACATCCCCCCATTTTATTAAAGTAACCAAACAACCTAATTCAGCAGGGCACATCATGTAGGCCTGATGCTAAATGCCATAGTTTACAATTGTATCGTCATCACAGACACCACTGTCCCCGAAGGGACCAAATATAACATGTGTGCTCCGCCCAGTGAGGAGTTAAAGTAGTTGCACGTCCAGTATGGAGAATTCCTGTGTCCCAATTTCCCCAAAGGTTGACACTGAGTGTGACCCTACGACATTTGTGGAAACTAGAAGCTCAGGAGCGGGGTGTCCCTAATAACAACGTCATAGACCACCAGTCCTCCCCGAGTACCTGACGCTCTCCTTATGTCCCCAGAACAAGCAGGGCACCGGCCTGTACGGGTTTTGATAAGCCAGTGCTGTGAATTTACTGAGGTTAAAGAGTCACCTAAATTTTTTTAAAAAACAATCATAGAATTCTCCTCAAAACAAATGTACTGATTTTTTTTAACATTTGTTGCTAATGTAATATTAGGTGGTTTTGCCTGACAAAGACAAGTAGGAGAGAACTTGAAACCTAACACAGAAACAAACCGCACTGACCTTGGGGCTCACTTCAGGCTCTGCAGGAGTGGGGCTGCTGAACCCAGGGGAGGGGCCGTCCATCCGCAGTCCTAACAGAGATGCTCACATGTCCCTGTTACAGAGGGAGACTCAGGGCAGGCTCAGGCCCTGATGCGCAGGAGGGAGGGTCTCGCCTCCACCCGGTTTAGCACAGTCAGCTCAGCGCCTGAGACCAGAGGTGCCCCTCGCAGGACCGCAGGTTGTTCCCAGTTTTTTCCCGCTGAGAGTTGAGGTTCTCTGTGGCATTTCTCATCTCACTTCCTGAGGACCCCCGGGGTGACCACTGTCCCGGGCACCCTGGGGTTTGGGACACAGCCGGGTCAGAAAACCCCGAGGTGACCGCGGTCCCGATGGCACGGCCCCTCCTGATCTCAGTGCTGTCCCGGCATAATTACTGTCAACAGTCACTTGGGCCCCAGGTCTGAGCTGGGACCGGGTCGGCAGGCTGTGCTCACTGCGATGGTTCTGGCACACGCAGGAAGGGCCAGAGAGGGTGGACACAGAGCAGGCTGCTCCCTTCCAGTGGGGAGGGCCCCGTGAAGGCAGATGGTACCCCCACCATGGTTCCCAGTGTGTGGCCTGGCATGGAATTCCAGGGCAGGGTCTGCAAAACCCATTCACAAAGCGGTATTTTTCAAACTGTACTTGACAACCCGTACATGATGTTTAGGGAATGCAGGGTTACCTGGGGTGGGGATGATGGCTCCGTCACCGCCAGGGCTCCAGAGAACCAGATGCCCGAGCCGCAGGAAGTGCCTCTGCCCAGGACAGAGCGCCTGCGGCTGTGCCGTGTGGCTGGAAATGTGGGGGTTTGGTCTCCCTGTGCATCTCTGTGCCTCCAGGCACAAGTCCGTGTCGGGGTGCTGAGACATGACCCCCTGTCCCTGCAGAGGGGGTGCTGAGCCGAGCCGTCTCTCTGGACATGGCTGGTCCATCTGGGTTTTCCTCCAGGGCGTCCGTGCTGATCTTTCCAGTGAGTGGACCTGAATCTCACAGCTCAATGTGTTGTAGGGAGGCAGCAGGCTGCGGCACGCCCAGAGACCGGGTGGATGGGAGGCCGCTCCCAGGCTCAGAAGGAGTTTGTGGCGCACACACGGCTGAAGAGTAAATGCACACATGCCAAGTGCTCGCACAGCTCGGCCTGTCCTGGCCAGCCCTGCGTGAACATGACCCGGCGTATCCCATCCTCAGCTGCGGGGACCTGGAGCATCGGCCCTTGTGCCACCTGGGACTTGCCCTGAATGCTTGCTTCCTGCGCACACGCACCTGCTGCCCTACCCAGCCCCCAAGTCGCACTGTCTCAGGCTCACCCGTTCTTTCTGCTCGCTCTTGGTTTCTGCTTGCTCCTTACCTACTGCGGGGCCCTTGTCTGTGGCTGCGTTGGCCAGGCAGCACAGCTGCCACCTTATGGACTGTCTTCCAGCAGACTACGATCTGGTCCAGGATTCGGGGATAAAGCTGTGTGATCTTGGACAGGTCACCAGCCCTCTCTGGTCTGCTCGCACCCCACACATCAGGAGTCAAGTCCGGCACCCACTGGAAGAATGGGCCCGTAGAGACTGCACCACTCTTCTCCTGTCCATCAGCTCCCATTCCTGCTGGCCTCTGCTGAACTTGTGGTGTGTTTTCACATTCAAGCCCCAGAGGGGCACGTCTGACTGGCTGGCACGGTCCTTGAGGGCAGGGACCAGTCTGCGCCAGGGAATGTGAGGCTTGGAAGACACTGATGTGCGGGCAAGGAACCCCCGTGTGGGGGGGGGGGAGGAGACCCCTAGCACCGACTCAGGGAAGGGCTGGACTGTCCGTTTCCCCTGTAGCCGTGGTCACCAGCGGGCCTCCATGGGACCTGGGTTCCTGCACCCAGTAGGTATGCATAGGAAAGGCCCTTATCAACAACTGTTGGAAAACTAGGTAAACCCGTTAGGTGTCTTCCTGTGGGGCTTTCTCCCAAGTTGTATTGTTCCCCAAGGTGGTATGGCTCACGTTACCACACATGACCCAGCAATGCGTGAACTTAATCCCAGCCTCCCAGAGATACGTGCCAGGAAAGTCACGGGTCTGTAAGTCCCCTCGAAGCTCCCCAAGTACGCTTCTGTGCATCCAGTCGTCAGAGCCTGAGACTCTGGTCCTACAGGTGTTGGTGAGGTGCATGGTGCCACCACCGCTTTAGTCCACTGTCACGATTTCATTGGGGGTATTTATTTGATATAAACGAGAGGAAATAGAAGGATCTAGTCTGATTTTTACCTGTACATTCATCTGTTTCCTCATTTAAGTCTCACTTGAATGAAATTCATGGGTAAATAGTAAATAGTATAACTGAGGGGGCTATTTTTGATAATTTTAGTCAAAATCGGCTCCTTAGAGATCACGCATTCACTGTATTTACTACTGGAACATTCTTTAAAGAGCATCTAAAAGCTGCAGGGACAGGCCTTGTGGGTGGATCTCTGCATTAATGACCCTGAGCTGAAGGGGAAATTCAGTTTTCTAGACGTTCGGTTCTAGCATGGTGCTTAGGAGACCCCCGTCATCTCTGGAAGGAGTCTGGTGGCATCGGCCGGCTGCTGAGCTCTGCAGGGACGCCTGAGTCCCTCTCAGACCAGAGAGCTCCAGCCGTTGAGAACACCGCACGCGGGCAGGCGCCTGGCCCCACGTAGACCCGCCTGTCACTGTGCAGGGGGCGGGGGCTTGGCTTGAAGGGAGCATGCCCCCGGGTATTGCGTCTAGATCTGTGTCCTACAGCGGGCCTCCATAACCTGTTCTAAATGTGCTGACCTACCCAGGAAGACGTAACGAAGCAAGGACACAGCCTCCCTCATGGCTCCTTCATGGCTAGCGGAGTCGGGAGACCCGCTTACACGCAAGTTCGGAGCCGTTCGTTCTGTGCTAGCTTGGGCAGCACACACAAGATGAGCACTGTGCCTGCGCAGGATGGCGCGCGGACGAAACCAGCTGTTTCAGGAAGGCCTGATGTCTAGAGTTAAACCTGCTGCTTTTTCCTCATACCTGGGTTTACAAGGCTCAGTTGTGGGTGTGGAATCCAGCTGGTCGTTCAGATGTGGGTAACTTCTGCCACAGCACGGTGCATAGCGTCCCTGCAGGCTGCTGTGCTGCTGGGGCCGGAGGTGCAGGCTGGGCAGGGCCAGGCTGGGGGGTGCTGCCCCATGAGCACAGCCTCGTCTGCTGAGACCAGCCCCCTTTCTGTTGTCTTAGCACAGAGCTAACACTCGCAGACTGGTCACCACAGCACGGCGCCATGCCCACGGGGCCCCTCCACCCTCCCCCGGTCTCCCTCTCTCTCGGTCTCTGTCTCCCTGTCTCTGTGTCTCTCTGACCAGCGTCTCCGCTGTGACCTGACTTCTGATTCCCCAGAGACAGAGCCCTGCCTTAGTTGCAGGGAGCCTCCCTCCCGGACCCCTCCTAGGGTTGCCCTGGTGTCCAGGTCTCTTTGAAACAAAGGTCCTTCCTAGCCACTGTTTCTTTTGTGACCCCCTCCTCATTCAGGATCTCTGCAGAAGGGGACCACCGAGGTCCCCGTGCCTGTCTCAGGGTCACCAGCAGCGACTTTCTGTGATCAAGAGGGTTTTGTTGACGGAAAGAGAAGCGTGAGGCCCCTTGGAGCTAGTTTGGTTCTTGCTGTTACTTGTAAAGGGATGGCATGGCCCCAGATGAGTCTAGGAAGTAGTTTCTGGGATGCGGGGTGCTGGGAGGCAGAGTGAGCCCTGCACGCGTTCACCAGTAGCCTCGGGTTTAACGAAACCAGATGTTAACGAACACTGTGTGCATCTTTCCAAACACAAATATGAAGACGCAATCACCCTCGAAAAAGCAGGGAGTGCAACCCTCTGAATCCTTAAATGTAAAAATAAAATGGTTCATTACATAATATGGCATCTCTGGGCAGGCTGTGAAGCTGCAGAATCCGGGGAATTTGGGAAGCACACCCACCCCACAGCCATGAGAGGAAAATGCCCCCGTTTCCTGAGACGGAGCATGATGGGGGGTGTATGGGTGAGGGCTGGGTGTCCTCAGCTTGAAACACCCGACAGTGTCCAAAGATGATGCTCAAGTAGAGCTGGAATCACCTGTTTCCGGTTCTGGGAAGAGATCTGGTGGGCAGCATCTGTGCACGGATGTCCCTGGGGCTGAGGCCACATG